AGGGTCGAGACGCCCTCACGCCTCACGCCCCACGCCACGCCCATTCTCGTTTCAAACTCTTCTCGGCTTCACGCCCTCACGCCACGCCCATTCTCGGCTTTGCACGCGGAATTCTCGGCTTCACGCCCTCACGCCACTTCACGCCCTCACGCCACACGCCCTCTTCTCACGCCCTTCACGCCTCACGCCCATCTCTTCGGCTTCACGTCCTCACGCTTCTCGGCTACGCCCACGCCACGCCATTCACGCCCTCACGCCCACTCGCGGCTTCACGCCCTCACGCCACGCCCATTCTCGGCTTCACGCCCTCACGCCACGCCCATTCTCGGCTTCATCTCGGCTTCACGCCTCACGCCACGCCATTCTCGGCTTCACGCCCTTCTCGGCTTCACGCCCTCACGCCACGCCCATTCTCGGCTTCATCACGCCCACTTCGCCACGCCCTCCGCCACGCCCATTCTCGGCTTCACGCCCTCACGCTTTCGGCTTCACGCCCTCACGCCACGCCCATTCTCGGCTTCACGCCCTCACGCCACTCTCGGCTTCCACGGCCCTCAGCGCCACGCCCATTCTCGGCTTCACGCCCTCACGCCACGCCCATTCTCGCTCACGCACGCCCACTTCGGCTTCACGCCCTCCGCCACACGCCCATCTCGGCTTCACGTCTCGCTTCACCCCTCACGCCACGCCCATTTCTCCGACGCCACGCCCATCTCGGCTTCACGCCCTCACGCCACGCCCATCGGCTTCACGCCCTCACGCCACGACCCTCTCGCTTCACGCCCTCACCGCCTCACGCCCACTTCTCGGCCTTCACGCCGCCACTCACGCTTCACGCCCACGCCACGCCATTCTCGGCTTCACGCCCTCACGCCACGCCCATTCTCGGCTTCACGCCACGCCCACTCTCGGCTTCACGCCCTCACGCCACGCCCATTCTCGGCTTCACGCCCTCACGCCCACTCTTCGCTTCACGCCCTCACGCCACGCCCATTTCTCGGCTTCACCCCTCACGCCACGCCACTCTCGGCTTCACGCCCCCACGCCACGCCCTCCTCACGCCCCACGCCACGCCCATTCTCGGCTTCACGCCCTCACGCCCACTCTCGGCTTTCACGCCCTCACGCCACGCCACTCTCGGCTTCACGCCCTTCACGCCCCACGCCACGCCCATTCTCGGCTTCACGGGCGCGGGTATCGTCTTCTCGGCCATTTATTCTCCTCTCTCCTATTCCTTTTCCTTTTCTCTTTGTCGTGTCTCTCTCTTCTTTATCTTTTAATGTTGTCTTCTCTAGTTTTTTATGATGATTATTATTATCTTTATTAGCATCATTGTTAGTGTATGTTATTTTCATTATCATTATTAATGTTATTATAATTGTTATCATTTTGTTATCACTTCTATATAGTCATTATCATCATCATTTCGTCATTTCTATTATCATTATAGTATTTATGACGATTATCATTTTTTCTATCATTATTGCTGTTGTTAAAATCATTAACATATCAGCAATATTATAATTATCATTTCTATTGTACTACTATCACCATTATTACCAATAGTATTATCATTATCACTATGATTATCATTATCATTATTTCTATTACTGTTATCATTACCATCCACTATAATCATCCATCATTATCATTATCATTTATCATATAATACTTTTATTATTTTTATTATTATTATTATTATTATTATTATTATTATTATTATTATTATCATTATTATCGTTATCATTATATTTGTTTTTCTTATCGTTTCTATTATCATTATCACTATGTAGTATAATTCTACAGTTATTTTTGTTGTTGTTACTATCATTATCGTTGTTAATATTGTTATGACAATCATCATTATTTTCATCATTATCATCACAGTTATCATTGCTTTTGCTGTTGTAGTTGTTAGTAATATATTATACTAATTAATTTGGTGTTTTCTTTTTGTCTTGGTTATCAATATTGATCATTATCATCATCATCGCCATGTCTTATCATTATTTTCATTACCTTCATCATTATCATTAATAGTGTTTTTATTATCATTATCATCATCGTCACTTTCATTTTGGTTATTATCATTTTCATAACTGTTTTATTATCATTATTTTCACGTTCATTACCATTATTATCATCATCCTTTTCATTATTATCTTTTTTATCCCTAATATTGGTTGTATTATTATCATCATCATTATCATTATTGTTTTTTATCATTTTTTTTACTTTCATCATTATCGCTAACACTGCTTTATCATCATTATCAACATTATCATAATTATTGTTATTATAATTTTCTTTACTATCACTACTATTGCTAACATTGTTATATTATCATTATCATCACTTTAATCATCATTATTGTTCATCATGATTGTTATTATTATCATCATTATTACTAACATTGTTTTTATCATCATTATCATTATTATCATTATCATTATTAACAGTAGAAATACAGGGGTATGTAATAATACCTTCCCTCTTGTTTATTTGTATTTTTTTCTTCATTTATTTTCTCCCGCATTTCCTTTATCGCTATTCGATTTTTATCACCTTTATTCGCCTTTTCTCTTCTTCCCATCTTCGTGAAATATAGCCCATTGTCGGCCATTTTGAGAGAAGCGAATCCCCGAGATGGAAGGAAGGGGAGAGGAAGAGGGGAAACAGAACAGGGAAGGGAAAAGAGGGGAGAGGATAAAGAGAGAGAATTTAGACAAACATAAAGGGTGGGAGAAGAGAGAGTGGGGAAGGGAGAGGGAAAGGGAAGAAGGGAAGAGAGGGGGAAAGGAGAGGGGGAAAGGAGAGGGAATGAGGGGAAGAAGATAGGGAAGGGAGGGAGAGGAGAAAGGAAGGTACAAGACAGAGAGAGAGAGAAAGAGATGGGAGATAGAACAAAACATAACTAAAAGAAAGTACTACAAAAAGTCAAAGAATAAAAAAGATAATAGGATGAAGGGAGAAGTGAAGGAAATGGAGAGAGAAAAAAAAAACGAAAAAAGAGACGAAGGAAGTGACAGAGGGAAGAGAAAAGAAGAAAAGAGGAAGGGAAAGAAATAAGGGAGAAATAAAAAGAGAGAAAGGAAGTAAAAGGAAGAGATAGAAACAGAAAGAAAATGGAGAATACTTGCCAAGGAGGGAGGGGGAGGGTGAGGGGGGAGGGGGGAGGGAGGGAGGAGGGAGGGAGGGAGGGAGGAGGGAAGGGAGGGAGTGAGGGGAGGGGAGGAAGGGGAGGGAAGGTGAGGATATTGAGGGGAAGGGGAAAGCAGTGAGGGGAGGAAAGAGGAGGGAAGGTGAACTGAGAGGGGAGGATGAGATGAAAGGTGAGGGAGTGAGGGTGAGAGAGGTGTATGAGGGTGAGGGAGCGAGGGGGGATGAGGGAAAAAGAGTGGAATGAGAAGGGTAAAGATGAAGGAAGGAGGAAGTGAGAGGGAGGAAGTGAGAGTGAAAGAGGGGATAAGGTG